GATCTTCACGCACTGCGTAACCACGCTAACATTAACTGCCTTCACATCGGTCTTGACCCATGGCAACCCTATGGATGAGACATCTCCAGGCTCCCCTGTCCTCTCCTGCTTTGCCCAGCTCCTGCAAACTCATATTTGTGGTCTCTTTAATAAAGTTCATCCATCTAGCATGTGGCCTTCCTCTCTTTCTACTTCCCTCCAACTTTCCTAACATTATTGTCTTTTCCAATGATTCATGCCTTCTCATGATGTGTCCAAAGTACGACAGTCTAAACCTCGTCTTCTTGGCTTCTAGGGATATCTCTGGCTTGATCTGTTCTAGGACCCACTTGTTTGTCCTTTTGGCTGTCCATGGGATCCTCAGCACTCTTCTCCAGTACCACATCTCAAATGTGTTGATTTTCCTCCTATCTTCTTTCTTGACTGTCCAGCTCTCACATCCATACATGGTAATAGTGAATACAATGGCTTGTATGATTTTGACTTTTGTGCTGAGTTGTATGTCTTTGCATTTTAGGATCTTTTCTAGTTCTAGTTCTTTCATAGCCGCCCTCCCCATTCTTATCTTCCTCTGATTTCCTGGCTGCTGTCCCCGTTCCAATCAACATTTGATCCCAGATATGAGACTTCTTTTACTATTTCTATTTCCTCATTGTCTAGTTTGTATGTGTATAAGTTTTCTGTGGTCATTATTTTGTTTTCTTTATGTTCAACAGTAAGCCTGCCTTTGCCCTTTCTTCTTTGATCTTCCTTAGTAGTTTACAAGGAAATAAATGAGGGACATGGAGAATTAAATTTGCTTACTAATTTTTCATTGTTCAAAACAGTTTATATAAAAATCAAAAGATTAAATAAAGCAAAAACAAATACCAGCAAAGTCCTTTCCCCATGTACGTGAGCCTATTTTGCTTTTTAAATTGTACTCCCATCCCGCTTTCTGCATGGTTGGGGCAGTTCTATGCTTAAAGCTGTGAAACTGTGACCATCACATAGGTTTAAGCTTGAATTTAGGTCACCAGAATGAACTATAGAACTCCACATTTTGAAAGGGAACTGAATTGTATTTAAATTGTATGAGCCATCCAAATGTATGCAAATATGGGCTTGAACCCTGTTAGTATTCCCATCTAAAGTAGACTTGTTGACTCAGCTGCCAAATGACAAATTAAAACATGTAAATACCATTGAGTCAGTGGCTCTACTTTAGTTGCAACTGGCAATACAATTCAAACCATATACTTTCATTCAAAGAACTGGTAGTAGATGCAGGTCATGTAGAATTCTAGATATGACAGTGTTCAGATGCTGATTTAAAGTGTGAAGAATAAGGCTTCTTTCAAAATAAGACTAGTTTGGTGATTAATGGACTGACAACATGGTGCTCCTCAAGCCTGCCTGACAAGCTGCCATGGGAATACAAGAAACAACACTGGCTGAAAGAAGGATCAGCTTGAAGAGCAAGAGGTTGAAGCAGCATGATCTGCAAAACGATAATACATTTTAAAGACCCACATTGATGACTGATGTGGTTCTCCCTAGCCTCCTTTTAAAAATACTTAAACTCATGTTCTTTTTCTGCTTGTGATAAAAAGCAAGCATAACACAAATGGTACTCTTGAGAGGGAACTGGTATGCCAGAGACTGGGAGAAGGGCATCTTAAGGTTAGTTTTGGGCTGTGGTGCTTTTGAAGTTCGAAGAGCTGGAGAGGTCAGTGAACAAAGAAGCTGCAGACATTACTATGAAGACCTGTCAACAGGTGATGCTTCATTTTCATGACAACAAAGCTGTTTGGGGATCAAATCACATTGAGAACTAACCTCTTAATGTCTTCAAGACCTCTTGAAGGGGAGTTACAACACATTATATGATTCAGAATGCAAGTTGTCAATTTTTCTTATCAGCCTGAATTCTTCATTACATTTTGAGATATATAGTGTTCTGCTTGTGGCAAAGTAGGATCTGAAAAGAAGTCCAGACTGTCCAGAGTCTACATTAGCAGGGGTGAAATAGAGAACGGTATTAACTCAAGGGCCATCTTAAAAAAACAAAACAGGTCAAAGATCGTTCATGTTCCATGTTGACATGGTCCAAGTGGAAAGCAAATAGGTCACTCAAGAGCATAGTCAAAGGGAGTCCAAAATCAAGCATAGAGTGAATCCAATGGAGGAAGAGCCAAAGAAGGACCCACTCTCCAGATGTTGTTTCCAGCAAACTCCCTCACTAAAACAGGCTTATGAAACTGAACTCCCAAAAACCCATCCAAGTCTCAGCTGCAGGCATTCAGAAATCCTCCACATGAGGATCTTGGTCATGAGGTGTTTATCCTTACAGGATAATATTACCAATATTAGCCTCTGTTTTAATCCAAAATAAATAGACACAGAGTTCCCCAAAACTGTTTTATCCCCAGACCCATTGTTCCAGTCTTCTAAAACTGCCTGAACTGCCCTTTGAATTAAAAAAAACAAAAAACAAAAACCCAAACCAACTTTTAAAAAAAAATGTCGGGTGTTTTTCTGATGGAAAAAGATAACATTTAAATTAGTCAGTACATTAGGTAATTAAATCTTCTCTTTTATATGAATAAGCCTTGGAAATCAAAGCTAATAGTATACATTATAAAAATTTGAGCTGTAGTTCAAAAAAACAAATTCTACTTACAGAGGAGAAGGAGCCTAAAAAGTAGGAGCACTTCCTGATAACATTCTTAAAATCAGAAAAAGATCTGGGTGGGAATTCTAATTATCAGAATAAAGTAATAACTTCACTACTTGTCCTAATTCTTCCATGCCTTTCTGCCTCTATACATCTGTTTTGTCTCGGTATTTCTTGATAGTCCCACATATATCTGAGGGAATTTTTGAAATAATTCACAACAACACAGGATTAAAACAAATTGAATATAAATTTTCTTATTTGGGTTCCAAATTAGGTGTGTTGAATTGTAGCATTCTTGTGTATCTTAAATTCAGAATTCCAGGTCTCCAGCATATGGGAACATGATAACTGTTTTACAGTCGTTTCAGTCCCAATATGCAATATTCCTAATTCTTCTTGTGTGTTTTCCACAGTGTTGTCCCTGACGTCTTAAAAATTGACATGCATACATCTCTGAACTGTAATAAAAAAATCAACATGGTTCTTTCCCCAAGTTCAAGTGTAAGATGCCATCTAGTGCTTCTTCCACCGGAGTTATTTATTCAAACCCTGACCTTCTCTGATTATTTCAAACTTCCTCTCTGGGAAGTTTTCTCTAAAGACAGTTTTAGATGAGATGCCTAGCCTTGTACAACTGTGGTGACAACATTGCCCTACAAAGATCTGTGTTTTGGATTTAGACCAGGGTTGGACAAAGTACAACTCTTCAAATGTTCTTTGGAGTGTATCTCAAAGCATTGCTCAATGTTGCCTGTGCTGGCTAGGGCTGATTGGAGTTGCTCACTAACAACATCTCAGATGCCATGCTTTGCCAACCCCTGATTTAGACCTTTCTAGAGACGCAAATTTTACTCAGTTTTATGTCCCTAAGATTCAGAATGATTTTAACAAGCTATCTTGAGTGGCTTAGAGATGGCTAAGAAAACAGAAATTAGTAGTACTTATGTCACCATTAATTGAAGGCAGGGAAAAGAGCTGTGATTCATTTGTGTTACTTCATTTAGGATGCATGATGAAAGAGCTAAGGCAACTGGATATATGCACTATACTTTGGAAGGAAGGCAAAGAAAGGCAGTTGAAAGATGAAGTCTTCTAAATTCCTTGTACATCACATATATGTGAAATACCATAGCAAATGTGAAGATTTTTATGGTGCCACAAGATTCTTTGTTACTTCAGCAGCTTAACTTTCCCTAACAAAATGAAACACTGAGTTTCAGTACTTTATAAAAAGTAGCAAGTAGGGTTCACACATCCTTGTCTGGATACCATGTTGCTCTGAAGCTCTGTGCAGGTTGGCAGCTACTATATCTTCCTCCTACTTTATTACTTCATCATTCAGAATACCTCCATATTCACAGATTTTTTTTTTATCAACAGATTCAATCATCCACGGTTTGAAAATGTTAAAAAAAATAAATTCCAAAAAGCAAACTTTGATTTTTACCATTTTATA